CTAAACCCCCTCTAGTGGGTCACGGCCCCCGGATGTCCCGAAGGACAGCGCCGCTATTTTCCCAGGGTCAGGTTCCACTTACTAATCTTTTCTTTTTTCGCCTCTTTTTTTTTTTTTGTTTTAAAGGGCGAAGGGCTTTGGATGTCATCTGCAAACTGACAGGCCCCAGTAAATTCAAAGTTATTTACTGACTGGGATTCGAACAGAGGTCCGTATTTCAACAGTTCATGGCTGTACCAACTGAGCTAGGCCCATTGGTCAACCTGCTAATCTTCTCTGTGTGTATCTCGTTCCAATTTTAACCAATGTCCCAATGGACACTGCGGCGCTATTTTTCCCAGGGCCGATGTCCCACTTGCCTGGACTAAGAGATATTGTCTGTCCATAGGCGACGAACATCGATGGCTTCGAGGGGCAAAAAAAAAAGAAAAAAGTATCGATGGCTGGGCCAGCGAGACCTCACCCTTCGGGGATTCGCTTAATGGTGACGGTACCGTGGGGGCGGTCCGCTGCTAGAAGTAGGAGCGCGCGTTGTGTCTGGGGGAAGACGGGTAATCAGAGTCGTGCTCTTCTTCTCGTCCCGGACAGAGCGCACAGCATTACCACTTCAGCAGTACAGTCGGTTTGCGTACGTCATGTTCGTGCAAGGGCCACGGTAATCTTCTCTGTGCGGTTGCAATTCTAATGATGTCCTCCAGGAGAGCATCATATATCGACGATGTCTGTGGCCACCAGTTCTCCTATTTTTCGAACGAATTCAGGGGGCAAAATTAGAGGGAAGAAGGAGGGGGGCGGGGGGGGGAGGGGGGGGGGCTGAGGGGACCTAGCTGCTGCTGGCCCAGTGGTGTGCCCCTATAGATCCATTGATCGATCAAAGAATGCTGAATCAAAGAATAATGAAATAATGAATCCAAGAATGATGAATGCCGAGGTTTGAAGAATCCTCACAGGAGCCATCTTGAAAGTACCCATCAGAATATCCATTGTGCATGTGAACCACATGCGCTCTGGTGCTTAGGGGTTAATTCGGGGGAAGGCGGTAGGTAGGTTTTGTTTGGCTACGAAGCGACAACGGCACAATGCCATCCTGAAAAGTTACTCTGCGGGTAAGTAACCAAAGTGGAAAAAAAAGAAAAAGGAACCGAAGGGAAGGGGGAGGGGGGGGAAGCAAAAGCTCAGCCCATGTGGCTGAATGGTGCATCGCTGAACTGTTGATATGCAGACCAGAGTTCAAGTCCTGATATGATCAGTT